TGAGCAAGTTGTTGGGTGGCTGGGGGGGGGGGACACACTGGTGGCAAGCAGCACTGCACAGTGCCGCAGCATCTCCCTTGCTCTGGGGCTGGAAATGCCAGGTGCTGCTTGGAGTCAAGTAGCAGCCATGGCAATGCAAGAAACATCAGGATCAGGTTAACTTGTTTTTAGAGCAGACAAAGCCTGACATCTCTCTATGCACAGTATTTTATTTATTTCATATGCTGAATTTATTTTCGAAGGCTATATTTGGTCTGGTTTATATCTGTAGTCTTTCTGCGTGGTCAATAGGGATATTTTATCTACCATAGAAAACAAAATTGCACAGTGACACAGGCAATTTAAATCTCTAAGTTGGAACTTTAGGACCCTCACTGAAAACTCCACTGAAACCCAATACAGATGGGTTAAAAGAATTACATTCTTTTATTGCAAGGTGTAATGGAAAAACTAATAGAAACATGTAAGACCTGGACTGTGAGCATATTTTCCCATATGACTCAAATACACACCTTCTTGCCTTGCATGAAACAAAGCTCCAGTTTTTCCAGTGCTGAAGCAATCACTCTTGCTGCTCTTCAGTCCTGTGTTAAATCACATCAGTAAAGCAGACCGTAGCCGGTGCTCTCAGAGCCTGCCATATCTACCCTGCTGTGGTCTGGATTTGTAAACTGCCCATGCACACCCCTTACGGTGCACAGCGCTGCACACCCTGTACCGCCCTACAGCTTTGACATCATCCCATTACTGTAATATGCAACAGCAGAGAATTTCCTGAAGATGAGGAAAATACTGCTTTCTCTGATGACTAAAGGGAGAGAGTGAGCTTAGGAAATAGAGGCCTTTGAACAACACGCTGTATATCTTAGAGTACAAAGAATAACATAGCTCAGAACAAATGAAAAATACACAGTAAGCAAGTCACGAAAAAAAATCATTTTATTTGAGTAAAACCATAATTTACAGATGAACACCATAAACTGTCTTGATTCAACTTCGTTTGTTTCCATGTAGAACCTTTGAATATTGGAAATAAATTAGACTAACAAATAAATGTCTTAGTCACAAGGAACTTTTATGTTATGTGATTTTCCACTGCATTACAACTTAAATATAAAACTATAAAAATAAGACACTATTTACAAAATATATTGTCTTCCAAAACTATTGGTTAATTCAAGTTTTAAGTTACATGATAAATTACACAACTCAGTAACACTTTACAAACAGCTAAAAAATAAACTTACTCCGAAAACAAAACGGTATCTTCTCATCTATCTATGACTATCTGACTATGCCAATTCATAGTACTTCCCAGAATCGGGATCAAAGTAACAGTTCAGACACGGATCATACAAAAGAGTCAAAACTTCATCATCTTCTTCAGCACTGAGGTCATCTCCACCTGTGTTAAGTACAAAAAGTAAGAATCAATCATTCTTAGACAATAACATGGAAATACCTTTCTGACAGATGTGATAGAATGTCTCTCTAAGTGTATAATCTTTTGACTTCTGAATTTTACCTTCAAGATAACAGCAATTCACATTTTTATTACATTTCTGAAGACCTGTATTTAGTTGAGGTGAAATGATGTCAGTCAGAGTTTGCTTAACTCTGCAAACAAAGTGGAGCCGTTCACCAGAAGTACCTTTACTGATAGTGGATCAAAGTATTCCTAAGTGATATTTTTTCATAAACAATAATGTTTTAGTACGAACAAGGATAGTCAGTGTGTACTTAAGGCCTGTAAGAATGAAAGAATTTGAAGGTCTGGTATCCAACATGTCACCTAAATGTCCAGTATGGGTAAATCTGTATAAAAGAGCTTTCAATACCAGAGAGGAAATAAGATTCTTTCAGACAATAAACATTTTAAATCTAGGTTGTCTAAAGTTACATAAAATGCAAGAACATTTTCAGGTAGCAGAAATGAATCCTTAGCCTAAAATACACTGATAAAGCCATACAGACTTTTATGACAGACGCTTTATATATCATAGCTCCTTTTCTAAACCTCTCTATCTTTCATATAAGCTAAATCTAAGTTACATGATCTATAGTTTTTTGATAGGAAACAATTCACAGCTGAATGCAATCTGTATCTTGAATTTCATCATAAATGTTCATCTTGTTCTCAGACTGTTAATGCAAACTGAATGCTTTGTATGCCCAACACTTCATAATAAGTAATGGCCTGTTATGCTAACAGCAGCAGTTTCACAACGCTCAGAATCTATTTACAGCCAGGATCACACAACGATATATAGGTTACAGCATCTAGAGACCAGCAGGTAGGCTGGTGCATTTAATGCACGCAGCAGAAGGGTGTACTTTATTGTTTGGGAAGAGATTTCATTTTTGTTTCCTCTGTAGCATTAACAAATACCATCAGAAAGAAACTGCCTCTTACTGTAACCAAAGGTAAAAAGGCAAAGCTGAATTGTTGCCCTCCTTGCTGTGAGTACTTCATCAGGCCTGGTACGCTAAACGTGGTTAACTGAGATATTTTGTTTGGATAGCTCTTGGGAACAATTCTGCAGTGCAGAAAGAAGGCATAGAACTGAAGGCCTTTTTCTACACTTCAGATCATAGTCAACAAGCAAATGGTATTTGTGCCTCATTCCCTCACACAGCCTTACATTTTCACCTGAAACCATGTTGTTATTTCCACTGAATTCTTCCTTTTATTATTTTGCTTTTCCATGCCTATGCTTCTCTTCAAAATTATTCTCCTTTCTTCTATAGGATTAAATCTCCTTCCCTCTCTGCCTTGGTACCAGCCTCTCAATATGCTCTCTGGTTTGATTTAGGAATAAGAAATACTTCAGACTCATCAGGGGAGTACCTCTTTCCCAGTATACCTTGAATTCATGCCAAATCAGAATTAGATTGCATCCAGGACTAGCTGGATTTATACCTCTAGAGCAGTAATTCCCTGCATGTATTTTCATGTGGATGAGAACTTAGTTTTCTATGTGTATCTTGTTTTTAAAGTTAGGCTTCTTTCTTCTAGCATCTCACAATATCCCCAAATGCATTTTAAGGCATTTCTAGATGTTGCAACAGATTTCCAATGGCAGCATGGAATATTCAGTTTTGAACAGATTAAAAAACTGTACGAAAACCTCACTTCTTTTCTTCTACTTCCTAAAAATAAGTACTAATTAAATTGTGACAATCAAGTACAAGACTCAAATAACACGAAACACTTGTGTTAGAAGACATCTTTCTACTTTCAAATGGTATATTGTGTACAACCTGACCATATGTAGGAATGAAGTGCCCATGGCCAAATTAGCGGATAAACAAGTCACTTCCAAGGCAAGTTTTCGTAACTGTTTATGCTGCCACCATCCACACTTTTGGGCTTGAGGTTGCTCAGGATTGCATGAAAAAAACTCTTGGCAGTTTAATTTGAATATCATGGTGAAAGCAAAATCAAAGCTTTTGTTCTTAAGTCACTATAAAATGAAACAGTATTTTAGGCTAGAAAATAACTTGATTTTAAATGAAAACTTGTGCCTCTGATACACATTACAGAGTGATGATTCTTTTTTAGTTCTGAGCTGAAAGAAGACTGAAGATAGTGAGTACCTCTGGATACCTGTCATATTAAATTAAATGCTGCCCCACTGAAATCAGGGGAGCTATTGTTTTCATGGAGCAAGGCTTTTGCTCAACATGTCTAAACCTGGGTACCAAAGAATAGAGGAGACAGGTAGCAGCTTTTTCCAAACTCTGAAATAAAGGTACGAATAACATAAAATGGATTATGTTAACACTGTTTATATAGCTGCCACAGCCTGGAGGACTAAAATAAATGCTTACCCTCTTCACAGAAATATATTTTCACTGTATTCTAGGTTTTAATATTAGAAAATAACTTGTAGAAAATCTCACTTTAAAATATATGGATCATACTCTGACCCTGATAGAAGTCAACTGTGCTCGATCAGCTGTCAGAAACAGAGATGCTGAAAATAACACTGCTAATATTTTCTCCGATATGATCCTTGAACATTAAACTACAGTGCTCAAATCTATACTGTAATTAGGTACTGCACGGTTACCGCATGACTATTGGCAACAGCTGTAATCCAAGAAAGAAGAACATTCAGGGCCGTGGTTCCTAGAGCACTATCTTAAGAGAAGTAACAAGGTACAATGAAGTAAGTTGCAGACAACTTATGACTCTGCCTTTGTCACTTACTGTGGAAACCTTCTTGTAAGACTTGTTATGTCAAGATAAATGAAATTGTTTATAAATCAGAAATATCAATGCCCAATAAGGGAAAAATCTATGGAAATATATGATATTCAGGAGTCTAAATTTTCCTCTTGTCTTGTGAAACCTGTTGAATAGAATACTTCTCATTACATCTCTTTATTTAACTATGTACTATGGATGGTGCAAATGTTAAGAAACAAACTATAGAATAAAATGCTTTCTTAGAAACAAATCACCTTTTTTCCCCACAGTTATGCCCCAACTTAAAAGATTTTTTTCTAAATATAAGAATTACAGAATATTTATAAATATCCTAACACTATACTATCTGTTTTTCTTTCAATACACTTTTAGATAAAATCAGTATCTTGAATACATTATGACTCACTGTAGATTATCAGTACTGATAATATTCTTTTGTTATCCTGTGCTATTTGGAATACTGGAAAACTGCACACACACACAAAATAATCTTGTGACACTTAACTCACTTCTCAACATGAGAAATAGATAATTTTCTAATGTGGTATTTAAAAAAAATAAGTGAGCAGGGCAGCAGAATTTTCTGGAATGAACTTGAGCATTCAGTTTGTTGATCAGATCTGGTACTTAATTGACAGTAACAAACAGTTCTTTTATCTCACAAATAACTAACTTCAAATGAAGCGATTAAGAAAAATAAAAAGCTTTTTCCGAAGCGCTAGAGATCTATCACGCCACACGACTTCTTTAGCATCTCTTTCAAAAATGATACTCTAACCTATCTAGCTACCATGGTCCATCAAGATTTTTTTAAAACAAGATCTCTAGGAAAACACATAGATTCTAATGTTTGATGGTACAATCTAATCTGATAGGCATGTATTACATTGCACTGCATTTTCATACACCACCATACTACATCCACAGATTTGTTTCACTTAAGTCTATCTTTCATGCGAGCAAAACCATGCCAGTCTTCTCTCAATATAGTGCAAGGACATTGTTTTCCAAGGACTGCACACAATCAGAAAGGGAGGCTTGGAGTTGTTTTAATATGCTGTATATTGTAGAGGTACCCCCTTACTTTGCCAGTCAGGCTTCCCCCAGCCACACCTGCTACAATTACTCTGCTGCTTCTCTGCTACTTTAATAGTGAAGGGGGTCCAGTAGTTCAGAAAAAATCCAAACCATCCTGTTTGGGGAGAGAAGGTCATGGAACAGCTCTGTTGTTCTCTTTTATTTCCTCCAACACTTTGGAGAAATGGCTTGATCACTTCAACACCATGACAGGTTTTCTGGAGTATTTGGAGACAGAAAAGCTTCTGTGTGAAGTTATCAAAATTAGAAATATCATAGATACAGATGAGTCAGAATTTAATTTCATTTAATAAAGGCACAAAAAGAAAAAGCCAAATTAAAAGGCTATGGTATAAAAAGATTTTCTGTTCTCCAAATGTGCAATCATGGACACATGATGTAAAATATTCCAGCATCAAGGCAAATGAGTTTAGGAACAATTCATGAAATATTTTGGAAATTCTAATTTCTAAATATTCTGTGTAAATAACAGAAGAAATCCAACAAATTCCCAAGTATACTTCTTTTTTAAAGTTTCTTAAAGATAATAATACATTTTTTAAAATTTACAGAAATTCTACCTTTACTGCAGCAAGCCTTGGATTTCATAATACTAACATAAAAAATTCTCAGAGACCTATCACAAATTTACATCCAATGTGCCTTTAACTCAAGGATTACCGTCCAATTCTCTTTGGCTTACTTAGGACCCTTAACAAAACATACTACTTCATTCTTCAAAGCAAGGTCCCTTCCTGACAGAAAAATTCTATTTTGTTGTCATAAACAATTACAAATATACATCTATGAAAACATTCCCAATTTGAGGGGCATAATCTATTTTAGACAGTAAACCACTGAGACATCTTCATCCCTCAGGCAGCCAAAATACACAGGTCAGAATTATGAGAGTTCATACTGAATTCCCCAGACTTGAAGAAAAATGCAGCTATCTACCCTGTTTCCTAAGACAAACAATAAGAAATAAGGACATTTGAAGAAAACAAGTTATTTGTTGTATTCTATTGTTGTCGACTTTCCAGTTTCAGCTAACTTCTTTGCCATTCTCCAAGCAAACACTATTAATAAACAAAAACCTGTAGCTCTTTAGGTGGTGACAACAGTGTTTACTCAGGAAATCACGCTGAGATTTCATTTAAGGCTAAATCTGAAATTTGTCATCATAAGAGAAGCATCACTTACGTAAGCGGAATTGTGCTTCTGAATAAGAACGTTTAGTCTTCGCGTTCTTTCTTTCATAGGTTTGTCATCTCCACTACCATAAATTCCTTATTTTAAACAAGTAAGATGCATTTTTTATGAGTTAATCTGCATCTAGCCAGAACATCAGGAAACTGCAACTGCATAAGTTACACTTCTATAAGAGGCAAATAATACTGCACGGAAAACTCTGCTAGCTTGAGCTGAGAACGATAAATATGAGAAGTTGGAACCAAAGTGCAGCAGTACAGAAAGCTACAAAAAGGCAGCACCAGCACTACAGGCACAGCATTTAGAAATGTCTTTCTACCCAGGTCCTTTTCATTGTCTTCATAAACTCCTACCTGAAATACTCTGATTCGTTGAAGATTTAGTGTGCTCTTCCAGCTGTTGTCTTCCAGGAATGATGGGAGGACTGAACATGTTCAACCAGTCTCTGAAAAATACAAATCAAAATATCACTCACAAAAGCACAGTTTGTGTTCCTATTTGTTCTAATTCTTTTGATTATTAAAAAAAATTCAACGGAAACTGCAGGTTGTCAAGTGTGATGAAACAAAATCAAGCTGGATTTTACTACTGTAGAAATAAACTTTACAGTTAATACAATTCTTCAATGTTAAGGCTTCCTTCCTTCCTTAGCCTTTTTGCCCGTTCTGTTCACCCTAACATCTGTGGTTTAAGTCAGGTTTGCTTTGCAGATCTCAGCAAAAGGTGTACAAGAGGTGTGATCCATAATCCACATAGATATACTCTGAAAGCCTATGGGACGCATGAAAGTCTTTTCCTGAGGAATAAAGACTTGTGATGAACAACCTGCGTTTGATGAAAGATTGGGGGGGGGCAATTTGATTAAAAATCCTTACTCTCTTTAAGGAAAAAGGCTTAAAGACAGTCAGAAGAGGTGCTTGGTTACCACTGACTTGGCACTGCTTGGAGCGCCTGTAATAGGGTGACAGCAAGCGGTAGATTGTTCACTGTCCGGATGGTTGGTGAGTTAGAGCTGAGCTGAGACATGAAATGGATGCCACTGACAGTGTGACACCAACTCAGTGGTCTTGAACTGTGGGACAGCTGATTTGTATTAAATAATTTAATCTTTCCAGTTTAATTTAACTTCAATATATTCCAATGAAGGGATGGAATTAGTGATCAGAGCTAAGAATAACACACTAACAGTTTTCTAGTGTTTTTCAGAAGGAAACATTGGATTGAGTCAGGATGTTATTGTTGACATTGGAAAAAAGCTTTGCTAGGTAAATACATTATAAACAATTGTTTATAACAATTTTTTATTGTTATAAAATGTTATATGCTACAAATAAATATTTTGTTATTGAGAATAACCTGGTTTTAGCTACTGGCAACAGCATACAGATGACTTCTCATCACAGCTGTCACAGATCTATTTTGCTTCTGTGTGGAAAAAAAATTAGATGGGATCTTTATCACAGAGGAGGGAGTACAGACCTTCTTCACCTATTCAATTTAATAGGCAATTTATGGCTCTCCTGAACACTACTTTGTGATAGCTTTTAAAAATTATTATCACGTTATCATACACACATATAAAGTTCAATATTCATTTCATATATACCACTTTATGATACCCTGTCTTTGACTGTTACAGCTCAAAGAAAACAGAACAGTTGTTTTGATTGTTGTTACTGCTTTTTATTGCAAACTGAACTGCAGATTTTTTCACTGAACAAGTCATTCATATTCTACTATCAGTCAGAGGAAGACAGCCCTGAAAAGGACACATCTAAGTCACAAATTTAAGACATTCCTTGTGCAGGTGACCACATCTTGCAATTCTTCTTGTATATGAAACCAATCTCTGTATACTGGGCATAGCTCACGTTTCCTTCAGTTCCCATCCGTCCTCTTCAACAGTAAAGAGCTATAACACTTTAAAGCTTCAATATAACCATGAACTAGACTAAACAATAGCAAGTTAACACTTGGAACACAGAATTTGAGGGACCTCAGTACATCATCTCATTTTGATAGAACCATCCTTTAACAGAATCCATCCTTTTTGACCAACCTATTTCACTGCAAGGCAAGGGGAACGGAAGTGAAAAGGGGTCTTTAAATTCCCTTATGCTCACTTCATGCTGATGGGAACAGTGCAGCTCTACAGAGTAAATTCAGCTTGGTTTGGGGTTGATTCAACTTGTGTCTGGCCATGGCTGCTCCAACAGCTGGCTCAAAAACATTACGCATGCAAACTTGTACTAGAGGCCAGGAGATTAGCCAGAGCTGTAGAGGTAACTTCAACATCCATGGCTTCACATAGAAGGGATGAATTTTTCCAAAACTTGACAGATTTCTTTACATTGCCAGACCTTAACTATCTCACCTCAATACAACATAAACAGATAATGTACTTCTACTTTTTGAAAAGCCTTGATGATCTCACGTAAGATTTGCTTCTGACAGAGAAATCTGGCAAGACTCAGTCATGTGTTATAATTGCTAAAATATGCCAACTGCTTTTTTTTTTTGTTAGTTTTTCTGCTACTTCTGGACTTGTTATTGATTCCACATCATCTCCTGTTGGCATGTACGCATAATCTGGGGTGAATCAGGGGACAACCACCTATCTGTTTGCAGTCAAAACGGAAAAAACTAATTTTCTGCCTCAGGAAACAGAACTGCTGGTGTAGAAATCCTGCAAATAGTATAGCAGATTTAAAGGAAGAGATATTGAATTTTTCATAATTTCAATATGTAAAAAACATACTTCAAAATTTTTTTACACCATCATATTATTTTCATATATATGGTCAACTTCACTACCAATCCTTCTCCTCTTCTCCTGTTCAGCTAATGGCAGTGAGAACTGGTACAACTAATCCCCAAAGCAATATGCTTGCCTAGACATCTCATTATTAGCTCTCTCTGTTATTGTTCATTATATTTGCATTCCCTGAATACAGCCAAAGACTCTATTTACACCAAAGTATCCAAAGTTTTTAGGAATAACAGTTAAATGCATGCTATGATATCCAGTGCATGGTAGAATATATTTTCCATTTCTGCCACCTGCCTGTGTGGTTTGTGCTGCCTCACAATCAGCCCACATGAGCCTAATGCTAGAATTCTAGGACTCCAGGGCTCACAGGATGTGGTCAGAGAGCATGACGCGGTATCAATTACCTGATTCTCCACGATTGCACTGAAACGCAATGTCAGCAAAAGCAATCTCTTGGAGAAACTGTGGCAATTTTAGAGTACGGAAGAACTACTAGTGCTAATCTACATCTGTGCTTCCCAAGCTACCCTTTCTTCCAAATTCACTACAGCTTTTTTAAAAGACAGTGACATCTGATGTCCAGAGAAGAACTAGAATATTTCTGCTAGTAAAACTGCTGAAGCCAAAGTGGTACAAGGACAGAGGAAAGACAGTGGTTGCTTCTGAAGAGAAATTATCTCAGTCAGACCAACAAACCTAGCTAGAAAAGTACAGCAGCTCTACCGTATACATGAAGAGTTTAAAGATTCAGATACAATATGTATCAGAGAATTTCTAAAGAAAACAGCTGGTACCCAGAAAGCAGAGAGGATGTTAGCAAGGGAAAAGAAAGAGAGAGACAATTAATTTAGAGAACATGGAGGGAGCAAGGTAATCATGTGTCATTAAATCAGTATTTCTATTAAATTAATAGTTCTTATTACTCAGGAAATTTACGTTTTAGTTTGAAGTCTCATGTCTGGAAGCTCTTCCTGAAAGATCAAGTCTGAGAAAGCAGAGATGGGATGATTTGTGAGTAGCTGGATGATTGTGTCTTTGATTCTGTCCTTAATTTACTGGGGTCAATTCTTGTGTAAATGAATTGTTCAGTTTCATCTTCATATTTATTTTGATGCATCTGGTTCAGTAGATTAATTACTACTTTCTCTAGAAGGTGCAAGTGTAAGATCTAGGGATTTTGATGGTTCTAAAGGGAGGCAAAGGAGTTTTTATTTATGATAAAGGCAACTGAGATGTGTTGGCAAGTCTGAGAGAAAAAAAAACAACACATGAGCTGAATCTAGACTGTCTTAATAGGAAATATCAATGTCCAAGCAAAACTACTAGTTTTGCTATTCAAACCCCTCCTACCAAGATAAGTGATCCAAACACTACAGTATTAAGCATTCACTGTTGACTTAATATTACTTTTAAGGTTGAAACATTTTAAACAATATATATAAAAACTGGTTTATTACTTCCACAAGTTAGTTAGCAATGTCTAAATCAACTTTTGTTAAACCTTGGAAAAAAAAAATGTTTAAAAATTTCATAGGTGCTGAAGTCTTCTTGGCCAAATTGCAGTAGATAGTAAAGACTGGCAGGTGATTGATTGACAAACTGCTGAAAAGTGGGTTTACAGTGGTAATTCTGATAGATGTTGTGGTCTGGCAGTCAAGACAGACTTTTCCACAATGAAATCTGCAGTTGCTTTTAGGAAGCAACTAAAACATATGTGTGTGTGAGACAGCGTGTATGAGTTAAAAAAAAAAACCTCAAAAATTTGTAGACCTTGCCTAAAAGTAAAGCCCAGAATGGAGACAACTGGCAATATTCTGAGAAATGCAGACTGTGGCCTGTGTTTCCATTTATTGTTTTTATTCTGACTCAACAAAGACTATTTTTTGGGGGACCTTCTTTAAGAAGCTAGTTTATCTCCCTAAAACAGAAAAGCTAATCACACATTCTGACTAATTAAAGACACTCTATTTATGCTATCAATGCCTCCAGCTGTAATCAATACAATCAACGTGCAATAAACTATCTAAAGCTTTCCTGATAACAATGTGGAATGCTAAGTACTGTCTTTTGACATTGTGAGTTGCATTGCGTGAAGGCTCAGAATAGCTTCCACACACATTCAAAGTATCACGCACCTTTAATGCTTGCACTGAAATTCTTTATTATCCTGAAAGCTATTTTCCATACTAAAATACAATAAAAAATGTTACATGATCTTGTTATATTATGGCCTTTTCTCAAAAAAAAACTTTCAGAAAATAATTGTCATATATTGAAACATCACATGATAGCTGAACTGCGATGGATAGCAAAAGAATCTCTTGGACTTCTGAACATCGTTTTTATTTTTATGACAGTATGTTAAATTTTGCAGAAAATGGCATCCATTGGTAAAATCTGCTGAGAAAATTAGCGATGCTTTATTAACTAGCACTTATTAATGATAATGTACCAAAACTGTTACCATCAACAGAAATCCAAAGAATCAGAGGGTTTTTATTTAAATCTTAATGAACATCTCTGATACTTTGACTTTTTACAGGTATTTTTGCTTTTCAGTCCATCCTACTGGCTGGGCTGAGAAAATGTAAAAGTCATTTAGTACAGAGATTCTTAACATCGCTGTGAATTGAGATAGCATACTTTATCGCACTTCTTTTGGATCAGATTTAATT